CCGTTCTAGGCACTGGGATAATGTGGTGAGCAAAATAATGTTCTTTCCCACCATCTTCCAGTAGGGAGGAACAGGAAAAAAGAAGTAAATAAATATATAAGATAATCTCAAGTTGCAAAAATAGCAAGTAAGTAAACAGAAACAGAAATAAAATCATCATAGAAGCCCTTGGTGAGATCATGCATGATATTTGAACTGGGACAGAACGATGATGGGCAAGCCATGCTAAGACCCTGGGGAGAGCATGTCTGGACCAGGGACAAGTAAAGACAAAGGTCCTGAGATGAACAAGAAGGAAGAGGGTAGAACATATCCTTCCTGGAACATAGGAAGCCAAGTATGAAATGAGTCTGCAGAAAGACCAGGGATCAGCTCATGTATGGCTTTTTGGGTCCAGATAGGAATTCTAAAAATTGAGGTGAAATTCCAATAGCACAAGGAAGGGATTGGCAGTCATGGGACACTGCCAGGGGAGGGGGTGGGCACGTAACAACACAAAGCGTACCTGGTCCTTTAAACCAGGGGAAGTGAGGACCAGCTGGAGGCCCAAACTTCACCTGCATGTAGACTACTTATCTGCTTATAATCCTGACTTGTACCCCACATCTTTAAAATAAAATAAAGTATTAAGAAATTGGGGTGAAATTCACATAATACACACTTAACCATTTTGAAGTATACAATTAAGTGACGTTTAGTGCATTTACAATGTTGTGCAACCACTCCCTTGGAATGTACTCTCATTGCCAAAGATTAAAGGGAGCCAGGTATATTAGCTCACACCTGTAATCCTAGCACTTTGGGAGGCAGAGGTGGGGGGACTGCTTGAGCCCAGGAGTTCAACACTAGCCTGGGTAACACAGTGAGACTCCCATCTCTACAAAAAAAAAAAAAAAAATTTAGCCAGGTGTGGTGGCATGCATCTGTAGTCCCGCTAATTGGGAGCTTGAGGTAGAAGGATCACCTGTGTCTAAGAGGTTGCGGCTCTAGTGAGCCATGATCATGCCACTGCACTCCAGCCTGGGCAACAGAGTGAGAACCCAACTCAGAAAGAAACAAAAAAACCCCCAAAATTAAAGGGGATGGAATAAGATGTTGCTGTGGCCTGATGCCATGTATT